GTGGGGTCTCACCAGAGCAGAGTACAGGGGCAGAATCCCCTCCACAGAGGTTTCGCAGCCCCATCAGCCAGTTCTTTCAGGACCTGACCTTAACAACACTTATGTTTAATTATATGCTGGTAGTTATGCCAGAAATATTCTTGTGGGGGTGTTTTTATTATTAGGCTCAACTATACATGAAACTGTGAAAATCTTTCTTTGAAGAGTCATGGAACTCCTCTGCTGTAGGTAGTAGTGTTTTTTCCTCTCTGCAAAAACTGGTTCTAAGACTGGGGAGAAAAGGTTTGTATTAGAGCTGCTACACAGCATGGATGGAATGGGCTTGTGTCAAACCTATTAATGACTCTGTCCTCCCGTTCCAGCTCTGTTGAAGTTTCATATGTTAAAAGTGGATTACTTTTATCACATTATTTATATACTGACTGAGCTTTTATCCATTACAGTGTGACGGACAGTACATCCCCCTTCCAAGTCTGCAGGGCATAGCTGTGCTAAATATTCCCAGCTATGCTGGTGGGACGAATTTCTGGGGTGGAACCAAAGAAGATGATGTGAGTAACATTAAAGAGAAGTAACCTTCTGGGTGAAACCAGCAATAAATACCATGAACTGCTCTTCTCATTTAGTTGAAATAGTAGTAGCTTATAGTTTGGATAGAAACTCTTAGTCAGGGATGCTGTTTGAGTTCAAACTGTGTTGTCTTGTATTTGGTTTTTTTGGTTAAAAATACATGTTATGGTTTTTCACTGTTCTGTCCATTCCAGCAAACTGTTGATAATACGGCTTAATTTCTTTTTAATGGCTCTGTGAGACAGTATTTTTAGAAACTAATTTTAGAAACAGACACAATTCTCTGTATGGTTTTACAAACTCCTGTAAATATGATTTCTCAAAGCACAGATTCCTTTGCTATATTCTAACAATAAACAAGGTGGACAAGGATAATCACTCATGATTTATACCAGAATTTTCTTGCTGTTCTTCAAACATCTTGGGACTAAGGGATGGTGATTCAGAAAATGAGCACTGATGCATTTGGTGACTGGTAATTTAGTAGGGGTAGCAATCTGGTTTTAAATGTTATTTTCAATTACCTTCTAAAATAGTTTAAGGTATCTTTTTCCGTTCTTCCTCACATCTTCTAAGGAACGTTAAACTACATGAATATCTAAAAGTCTTACAAGTTGGAGCAGTCTTACTGCTGCCATCCACTTCACCCACACTGCAACAACTGTAATTACTAGCAGATTATCCTAATTCTGTATGTCCTGGTTTAGTGTGTGTGAGGTCTGAATCACCTAAAACTGTAGTTGCAAGTTAGCTTGTGATTTTAATGTAGACAGTCCAGAACTTTTTTTACCAAAATGCTTTTGGTTTCTTGTGAGTTATTATCCTTTGCTTATTTTGCTTTTATATATATATATGTAAAAGTCACCAAAAAATATTTTAAACATTTTTCAATGTCCTGTTCATATTTTTGGTATATGTCAGAGGATGGCAGTTGCATTTATATTTGGCTATGGATTTCTGAAGTTTTTATATACTCCATGTTCATATTCCTAACTTGGAAACATCTGTAACATCTGCTCAGGTACTGTTCAAGAGTTTATTTTTCCTCCCTGGACTACCTTACCAAGCAAGAAGATCTGTCCTAGCTCTCATACTGTTATACAGCAAATGAGTGTGTCTTGGAGCAGTTCTACTGATAGTCTTCTGGTGATCAGATGTGCCAGTCAAGTGACATGGTTGTTCTGGACAGATTTAGGAGCATAAGTCACTGCTTTAGTGCAATATTGAGTGACTGATCATCACAAGTGGTGGTGGTGGTCTGAAGTGCTGCTGGTTCTGCTAATCTGGACAAAAGAAAGATGTTGCCTTGACAGCTGCAACGATTCCTGAAACCAAGCAGGGCTGCCACACACTGACTGGCCTGAGCTGGGTTTGTTTAGGCATGCTTTTTTGGTGTCCAGAAGACAGGCTGGAAACATGACCTGCAACAGCAAAGGAGGAAATTGTTTCTTGAACTTTGATCCATTGAGATTTGTTTGGCTTTGTTTAAAAAAAGAAAAGTTATGGTTGGTTTTCAGTACAGTGGTATTTTACTGGTGGAGAGACACAGAAGAGTGGGTTGTGGTTTGCCCATCCTTTTGCTAAAATGGAAGAACAAAATAAATGACATATTGCAACTACTTTTTCTTAACCCATGTTGAACTCGCCCTGTTGATGTCAGTCATACTTGTTAAAGCTGCATCAAGGGCTCTCCATACTTTTTTTACCTCAGAATAAAAGGATCACTGTCTTTACACTTTTCAAGATGTTCACATGCCCACAGTAAAGTGCAAAAACTCAGATGGAGAAACCTTTTGCTGCAGAACAGTCTAGACCCAGTAAAATTGCATTTTTGTTCTTTGACACTGATGTGCTCAAGACTTATCTGTGCAATCCTGGGATACTCTGAGGGCAAGTGCCACCTGGATGTGACACTGAACTATGGCAGCTGTGTTGTGCAGCCCTTTCTCTGAGAAGACCTCCTCAGCCTCCTGGACAAAGCCACCGCTCACTGCACTGGGGTGAAGGCTCCAAGTGGCTTGGTGGGCAGCAGGGACTGAAGTCCCTCACCCTGTTCCCTATCTTACTCGTCCCTAAGACGTTGCTGCAGACACTGTCTGGATCACACAGTCCTGGATCTGCACCCTCTTATTCTTCACCTCCAGAAAGTCCTCTCTCAGCTGTCACTGATGCAGCTTACTCTGCTCACGGTGCCAACAGAGGTAGTCTGAGTACCACTCAGAGAGGTGATCTCTCTACCTGTTAAAGTCCTCCTGGAGTGATCTCTCCTGCTGACCTTTCTCCCTTGTTACTCCCCATTGCGTATCAGGATGAAATGGTCAAGCTTCAGGTGACCTTAGAGTGGTATCTCCTGCCAGACCCAGTTGAACTCCAGCCTAAGACTTACCCTGTGGTGTGACTCAATTCCCTGAAGGACACCCAGTGGCAACATTACACACGAGACTGTGCACTTTATGGAAGCTCATGGAAATTCAAGGTCTTGGCTGCATATCAGGACGTTTGTTTCATACAAAAGCTTTCTTCATATTTGCAGTGGATAATTGTACCCAGCACGAACAAGATCCTCTTCATTATGAAAGCTGTGTTTAACAAAGCTGGGTGTGGACTCAGATGTTGATTTCCAAAGAATTCAGAATATAAGAAGATCAGCACTTCTGAGAAAAAAAGAGACCATTACTCCTCTTGAATTCAAGAACCTCTTAGATATTAAGTACCTTAATCAGGCAGAGATTTGATTTGGCCTTTCATCTTGTCTTGAAAAACATTTCTTAGTCTGCGTGCTGAAACATGCCATCCTTCTTATGTAACTATATGCCTCGTCATTCAGATATTTGCAATGCTATTAGCATTACAATTTTAAAATAGTATTTGTCTACTGTCTACAGTGTCTCACTCCTAGGTCGTTTGAGAGACAGTGTACGTACTCTACAGTAAATACGAGAGCATTTAAACGTTGAAAACGAATCTGTAAATGAATCTGTGTTTCACTGAATGTGTAATCTAAGCACTAGATTTACCACTAAAACCAGAACATTTTCTTTTCCTTTCAGATATTTGGGGCTCCCTCGTTTGATGATAAAATCTTAGAAGTTGTGGCAGTGTTCGGCAGCATGCAGATGGCGGTTTCAAGAGTCATCAAACTGCAGCACCACAGGATAGCTCAGGTTTGTTT